GAATTTTTCTATTTTTCAAATAAATTATTAACGACAAAGTGGCCGTATCGATCAGAGTTGTAAAAGAGATCATAGGCCAAGGGGTTGAATCGTTACGAAATGATGCTTAACCCTTTGCGGTCCGAAGTGCTCTTGGTTTCTCACTTCGTGATTCACGTCGACGTTAGTTCATTCAATTGCAGCTTAATATGACGCTCTATTTATTTATTAAAGAATATTTGGGAGTCATTGAAGCGTTACCTTTAAATGGTACAATTGTAATACTACAAATAAATATAGGAAAAACTGTTAAAAGAGGTAGAGGTTGCAATTGTCTGACTCGACGTAAGACTGCTAAGGGTTAAAATATTCGATTTCCAACAAATTCATTAGTCTAGTATCAATCCAACACGAAACATTGAAGGAATATTACACGCACGGTAATTGCGACAATTGAAGCAGCGAGACGCAGCTGTTCGCGAGCAACTGTACACCGTGAACCTCCGGGCGCAGTAACTCCGACGCGAACACGTGAAAACGTGCCCTTGTTCCGCAGAGGATGTAGACGTTAGGATTTTCATTGGAATCTGACGACGCCTGCGGGAGCTTACTGCCGCGGGATTACCAGAGACAGTTGGAAATCCGATCAAAACAAATGGACTGCGAAAATGCTCCTTCTCTCTCCCGCTCTCCCTTCGTCTCTCCGTTCCTCTTCTCTCCCCGCTCCGCGCGAGAATCAGTCGTTTGGCTGTTACAAACCGATCCGGATGGCCCCCGGTCGCGCAGACTTTCCCGCAGGAGAAGAGGATCGCGCCGCGACGCGGACGACCGATAAGACGAATCGCTGATCGCGAAGTAATGAGCGGCCGTGATTTCTCGCCGCCCCTATCTGCTAGCCTCGTTCTCACGTACGCCGGCTGGAGACGGTTAACAAACAGGGGCGCGAGAGAGCTCGTCTCGAGGGTAGTTTTGGACAGTGTAGAACCTCGATTGCCACCGGGGCGGAGGGAATGGAGCCATTATCACGTAACAAACGGATTCTAGTTTGAAGTGTTCCGCGTCGAATTTAAGACGGACGTGAGCGACGCTTCAGCGACGGTTCTCGCGATGAAATAACCGAGACGGAGAATAAATACGGTCTTCTTCCGTTTCAGCTCGATAACTTAAAAATTACGAGTGATACAAATGTTTCGGATGAAAGCTGTAGATATAGAGCTAAACATGTTGCGATACATCGAACTAGCGATGTATCGAACCAACCCTTAGGATCTGAAGGTGATTGAAGTAAACCGGTCGCTAAGGAGTCGGTCAGAGTAGACGAAGACGAGCTAGTCTTCGAGCGAACGTGAACAAGAACCTATCAAACTATATTGTGCAACATTTGTATATAATTGTAAATAGAACTGTATAAAGAACGTTGTAAATAATTATGTCGCGAGCGAGCACCCCTAAACCCATCCAGCGCAACACTATAATTACATCTTTCTCACATTACGAAGATATTCTAAAGTCTTCCGACGAAAGCTCGTCAAACCAGTTGGAAAACGATCATCCGTTACATACTGCAGGCCGTTAAAAAAAAACTCCAAACAAAACCGCGCCGTTTCCGCGCGCAAAACGGACAACAATGCCGGCGCAATAAATC